TTATTTTAATTTCCACTCATTAATGAAATGTACTCCGCTTCTACCTCCTACCTGACACATTGAGACAAAACCAGTACACAAAATGTCAAGATTATCCCACACTGGAAAGGTCAAAGGGCATCAGCATGAAGGAGAAAGACCAAAGACAGATGAGAAGTGATGAAGGAAAGGAAGAATTAATTGCAAATCACTGAAATGAAAAGGTTCAGAAATTAATCGAAAAAAGGAGCAGAAATCTTTTATCCACCTTCTTATCACCTTCATCTATCAGTTCGTCCAAAGCTTCTCTTTCTTTAACACATCCATTTATCTTCTCTTCCTTCTTCACCCTTCTGTCCATCCATCCATGCTGGCCTCCATTCATCAGCTGAGCAGGACACCGAGACACTCGACTTTCACTCTCACATCTACTCCGCTCAGCACTTCACAAAAAACTCACTCCTGAAACAAACATCCAAAGCTGATCCAGAATTCCAGATTTGATTCATTACTATATTTAGAGTTGTAAGTTGAATTCTCCAATCAGTCTGCAGGCCTCTACGTGAATTTAGAAATGCTGGAGGTTTGTGGTTAGAGTTTGATGCCTCTTTATCTATGGTCCTCTGTCCATCTGCCAAGGCCCCGAAAAGAAGAACCTCTCTGCCTGTGTTTGGTCACACTGACAGGATCTAAGAAGCAAAGTGAACTAGGGGAACTCCGACACTAAGATAAACTCTGCATATTAGTAGCCCATATGCTCTGCTATGTGATTCTATCTGAACAACTTGGACAAGCTGCTCCTGCAGAACTACAGGCCCGTCTCAAACCTCCCCTTCATCAGTAAGATAATTCAATCAGCTGTGATTCAGCCAGTAAACACTAACTGATCAGCTGCTTCTACTTCTTCCAGTAGGTGTCCTCACCATACTACAGAGACTGACCTCTGTAAGCTGTTCAATGAGATCTGCATAAAATCAGACCAATGTTCTGGTATTATTGGACGTCATTGAAGCGTTTGGTTCTTTTGATATTTGGATTTTATTAGAGCACCTGGAAAACTGGGTCTGCCTTTCTGGTACGACTCTGGACTGGAATAAATCCTACATGAAGGACAGTGACTACTGTGCATCAGTGGAACTTCAAATCAGAGACCAGAAAAATCACGTCGCCCCCCCAAGGGTCCATCTTAGGGCCCCTCCTATTCAATATATCCTAACTCAGATATAAAAAAAACGATCTCAGTTTCCATGATGGTGCAAATGACACCCAGCTTTACATTTACTATGAACCCATTCCAGCTCTGGGTAAATACAGGGAAGAAATTAACGCATGGATGAATAAAATGTTCTTCAATTGCTGCTTTGTTCATCTTTAGTAGAATTGATCCCTGCAAACGAGTCTCTACAGGTTTCCTGATAAAGTGGATCAGAGCTGCAGCTGATCCAGACGCTGCTGCCAATATCCTCACTAGAACTAAGAAAGTGGAGAACATCAACCAAGTTCTAAAGTTCTTCCTCTGGCTCACTGTATCTCAGAGAATCGACTTGAAAATACGTCTGTTAGTCTATAAATCCCTGAATAGCTTAGCTCCAAAATGGAAAACAGATTTGTTGGCAGTGGATCAACAGCCAGATATCTCAGCTCTACTGGATTAAATAGGATCTGTAAAACCAGAACTTGAACCAAAAATGGAGTAGCAGCTTTTACAGGGGTCTTTGACTGAGCATAATAATATAATAATAATATAATATAATAATTATTAAAGTTTTGAGTTCAACTGTCCTTCCTTTTTCTAATAAATCAGTTTAATAATTATCTAATGTATGTAATACCACTGCATTGTACCTTTCTGTATTTTCCCTCCTGTTTAGCTCTTTGAAATGCCTTACTGTTTAGAAATAAATTAGTTTGCCTTTCGTGTAAGAAAATGCCTTCTTTCAGATCATTTTTGTAAAACCAAAACGGAAATATGACTAATAAAATAAAGCAAATGCTCAGTTCTCAGCAGATGTGTGGCAACCTGCAGACATTGTTTAGCTCTTCTATCTTCAGCAGCAGTTTGCCCTTCTCTCTCCTCTTAGCTGAGTTGTGGCAGTCAGCCACGGCCCTATAGAGGCGCACTGAGGTTAGAGCAGCAGATTTAAGAGCCTGCTGCAGAGAGAGAGAGCAGGGGAAAGTAGGAGAGATAAAACCGAGCTGGAGAGACGGAGGTCACGGAGACGCAGGATCAGCTGGTGAGTCTGAAGCAATGAGGTGGATCTTTAGCAGAGAACGCCTATATGAAGCTGCTATGAGCCACATTATACAACCTCAGGCCATTAAAGTACATGTGATGCAGGAAAAAGGCCAAATGATTCATGGAAATATTTGAATCATTGGATACTGATTCACTATTATGGTTCCTTAAGATTAATTAAAACATGAACAAATGAAACAGTATGATGTCATCAGCACCTTCCAAATATATGGTGAAGAATTCTGTCAGAACTTTAATAATTTCTCAAATGGACTGCTGTCAGATTTTCTGGCTGACGCTAAAAGAAAAGACCCAGGAGGGCAGGAGATTATCCATGATAAGGCTGATAAGGCTGCAGTTTTAGCTCTAAAATGCTCTCAGAGTTTTAAAATCCGACTGCAAAAAACAGTCATGAAGTAGCAGAAGATCTGTCAGTTGATGGCTGACAGCTACAACAGCAAAAAAAATCAGAACACTTAACAAACATGCCGGTGAAGATTGTCAGTCATCCAGGTCATAGCCATTCCGAAATAGTTAAAAAACAATCCACTTAACTTTCTTTCCAGTTAGAGACGTTTGCTGTCTTCAAACTATGCAGTTCAATGCAGTGAGGAATAACCTGATCTTTATATTGGAGAAACCAAACAACCTCTCTATAGACGCATGGCCAAACACAGAAGAGCGCCCTCCTCTGGAAAAGACTCTGTGTTACATCTACACCTGATGGACAAAGAACATTCTTTGGAGGACCAGAATGTTCACATTTCGGACTAAAGAAGACAGGTGTTTTGAGAGGGGCGTGAAGGAAGCCATCTATGTTAAGAATGAAACACCAACTTTAAACAGGGGGAGGGGACTCAGATTTCAGCTTTTAAAAAACTAAAATGCAGCGATAAAGTTGATTTCTTCCTGTCATCATCGCAACCCCAACCCCTTTACAGGGGAATAAAAGACTTCGTCTTTTCAGCCAGGCCAACAATTCCCGTTTCTATTTGCATGTTTTCTAAACCAAAACAAGTTTTTTTTGGGCTACTGTATAAAACCTGGAACTCAACGCTATTTCTGACATTTAGAATTGAAAAAGCTTCCTGGATGGAAGAGAAACATCTTTAAACATGGAAACAAAGTCCAGAGGATTGTTTTAAACTTTTTAAAACTATGATCAACACTATGATGTAAAGCTGAAAATAGAACAATGAATCATCCTCATGATTCCTTGATACAAGATGAGGACAAATGATCGAATTCCAACATAGGAAACATCAATCCATCCATTTTCTGTCATGCTTTATTCCAGCTGGGGTGGCGAGGGGTGCTGGTATCTATCTCCAGCTGTCTGGACAGGTCGCAGGTCAATCGCAGAACATTGGAAACCGTTTGAGCTTATATTTACTTGAATAAAACCAATCTAAAGTCCTATTCTGGCAGGGTTGGTTTGGAGATGATGTGGGATTAGTAGTTCTCTTTGCTTTTTGTTGAAGAATGAAATCTGCATTGGAGAATTTTGAAATCCTTTTGGGTCCCTGGTGAGTAAAACCCAGCGAAAGCCTCACAACGTACGATATCAGAAAGAAAAGGCTGAAGAGAAGGAGCATTATGGGATGCAAATGGTGAATCACATCAGACATTGCACTGTAATGTAAGAAACATTTTCTTCTGCCTTCTGCATTACAGCTGGCTAGCATTGGAAATAAGACAGCACTGAGCAAACATTATGCAATAAATAAAACATTAACATCATAGTCATGTCATAAACGTTCAGTTAAAAATTCACATTAACATGTTGAGATGAATCACATAAAAAGCTAATGTTTGTGGTGGGGGGGATAATTTAACCATTACATGGGTTTCCCAGATAATGTTTATCCCATGCAAATAGGGCTTAAGTAACAGAAAATGCACATTTCACTCAGATTAGTGTAAATGTAGAATGATATTACCACTTTGGAAAATAACTATTGAAATAAAAATTTGAGGCCGAACATTTAGCAAATGGTTTTGCTAGTTTAGCTCCTTGCAACACCTACAAGTAAAGGAGTCTCAACTGCAGAAAAGCAAATGTTTTTAAAGCATCTATGCGTACATCCTTAAATATTTATCTGTTGTCTCCTGATTCTTCTTTATTTTTGTTGTTGCCATCAACAGTCCTGTCTGCTTCTCTTCCTCTATGTGCTACAGCAATGTTGATCATTGTCTCCAAATGCATCCCCCTTTTGTATCCTAATAATAACGTTTTTAATGCCCTCTGGCTAACGAACAGTGCCAGATTATCGAAAGCCATCATGCTAGTAAAAGTATACCACTGTTTTCCTGCCTGCCTTCTCTGCCTCCTGCCTGTTCTCTGAATCTTACCTACCGATACTGATTGTTGCTCAGTTGGATCAAACACTAAAACCAAACCAACTATTCCCATTCACAGCCATCCTATCCAATAGCAATGTCATACAGCTGTCACTAGCCTGAAGATTCAGTATCCCCGCTCTGCCAAGGATGCGATAAGGTTAGCGGCTTTTTTACCGAATTTTTACCTTTGCCCACAAGTCTCAGTTAGCCTCTATCCTATTTCTTTCCCTTCAGCAGGCCTGACCTTTCCTGATGTTCCAGAAAAAATGTGTAGCATTGTTTTCTGTAGGTTCCTGTCCCCAAATAAACAGTTGCACCATGTTTCACATTGCTTTAACAGCTAAACCAGATGACTTGCACCATGCCAGAGAGTTGAAAGTCCTCATAATTACTGTCAAATTAATGCGGAAAGAAATTGGAAAAGTAGTCCTGAATGTCTTACCTTCAGTGACGTTTTAGCATACCACGCATTGTTTCAGGATTCACATGTTACAAAGGATCATGGATCAAGCTGCAGGTCAGAGATCCTCCGGCAGATATTTCACACTGCAGAACAAAGAGAAAATCATTAAGTTTTAGGTTATCAATTTCTTTGGGGAAATCCTTTCAGTGACTGTTACCTGTCATGTTAGAGTGAGGTCTGAACAGGATTCATTGACTGTGTACAGAAGCAGCCTAATCATCAATTAACTGGTTAGCTTAGGCTAAGTGTGCTTAGCCGAGAACAGTTGTTTCATAGACTGATTCTCCCACACAGGAAATCTGCCTTCAGATGCTGTTGCTACTGGATATCAATGACCTGAACAACCCTCAGTATTGATCCAAAGAGATCTCCCTCCTCCTTCCTTCCTTTTACTTTTCCTCTCATCTCTTCTGTCCTTCTTTACATTTTTGTCCAGTTTCTCCCCTTTTCCCACATTTCATCTTTTCTTTACCCACACCCAAGCCTCAGTTCTCCCCTCCATCCTTCCCCCTAACTCGCTTTTCAGCTCTTCTCCTTCAAAGGATAGAGGGCACGGCTGAAACAAAGGCTGCTTCTATACGAGCTGAGCCAGCAGGATGGAGAGAAGGAGAGGAGGGAGGGAGAGGATGGATCAAAATCACGCAAGGAGGAAAAGAATGAGGGCAAAGAGTAAGGTGGATGGGAGGGCGGGGATATAATGGAGGCGACGGTGGGAGAACAGCAGAGGCCTGGAGTCAGTGAGCGATGGATGAATCAGAAACAGGATGGATGGAAGGATGGGAGAGGATAATGACGGATGCAGAGGAGAGTTCAGGAATTGCTTTCATATTAGAGTGGCGTTCTCTGGTATCATCCTGATTGCATGTGCAAATGCAAACACGGCCCGTTATGAAACATTTCCCCAAAAAACACAAACCGCTCTAATAATATTCCATTTCGCTGCATTTTCTAAATCTGTCTGTTGACCTGCCTTCGTATCTATGAACAGATCTTGATACATTTAAGTTTTCATGGTTTCTGATCATAGCTTATGTACATTTTTGGAAAAAACCTTTAGCGCTGATAAAGAGGAGGGAGGTTTGCTTTATTTTAATAAATAAAAAATAAAACCATATAGATGGTTGCATTATGGGAGGGCTTAGTCAGCAGGTCTGCCAAACATGACAGACTGGAGTTAATATGCAGGCTGCAGCCCGTCCTCAGTACAAGGACACAGGGCCCGGTGTGTGTGTGTTGGTGGGAGGTGGGGGCACATATTTAATATTTTTTAATTGATGATGGTTTTAGGATTAATTCAGCTTCAGTTCTTAGTTTTTGTAGCTTTGGTGATCATGTCTTAGCTTTCTTTTAGGTCTTTTTCTTTTTGATTTGTGGCTTTTTTTTTGTCACCTTTGAATTTTGTTGACTTTTCTAGACCACAGCATGATTTCTATCAAATGTCGTCGCATCCTAAAAAAATGTCCAGAAAAAGAAAACAACTGGAGGCCAAGAAAACAGTGCTAATTTGCAGCCACATCAGAGCTTCTGTCCAAAGAACCAACAGCTTCCCAGATTCAGTTGAAACGGGGATCCGACGCCTCATAAAATCTCAGAAGCAAGCTGTACCAGCACATCTATCATTAAAAAGCAACTGGCTGCTATTTTTTTCAAAGAGGACAAACAGGCGTGAAATCAGCAGTAGTTGTAAGGATCAGCCGAGCTGTGGGTCTATAGATGGTTGTCTGTTGTCCGAGGGAAAAGAAAACCAGCGCAGCCTAATGAGCCGGCATCCCCAGGGTGAGACTACATTCACTCTGATTTAATCTGGAATATGCAAAAGTGCCTAAATCCTTTAATGAGGGCTGGATTAGTGAAATGAAATGCCCCAGCAGCACCCCTCGACATGGGCTCCACACGGCAGGAGCTGAGTGAATGTCTGGGCAGTGGAGAAGATAAAAACAATCTACGATGAAAAAGTCCAGTGGAAGCAAACCTAAGATGTTTTCTGTAGTAAAGATCCATCATTTTCCCTGTGAGTGAAGACATGAGCCGCCCACGCTCAGGACTGTTACCCAGTTAAAGACCGATTGTCTTTGTGGGGGCTGGAGGTTGATGATGAGGATGCATGCCTCTCGTCTCACTAAACCTACCAATAAGGCCTTCAACATGACTTTTTACTGACATTCATGACCTGATGGCTCATACCCCTCAATTAAAACTAACAGTTTCACCTTCTTTTCTTAGGCTAATGGTTTCTGTTTAACGTTTTCTTCAGACATTTTTACAAGCAACAAATATCATGATGCTAAAAAATAAAATAAAAAACAATCCACTGGACTTTCTCTTCCATCCAAGAAGCTTTTTTAATTCAAAATGTCAGAAATAGCATTGATTCAAGGCTTTATACAGTAGCCCAACAAAGCCTTTAGAAAAAAACAAATTGAAACGGACGAACGGGTCTGTCCCCTTTTAAATGGGCAGTCGTTTGGATTCTTTGTTAGCCCGCAAAACCCGATACCGGTCTAAGTTTCGCAGCAGTTAAACTGATCTGCTCTTTTTATTATTATTATTCTCTAGGAAGTAAACATATCTAGATCTCCAACATCTGTGAAAACGTAGAAATCAGAATTATAAAATAATACTCAATGAATCCAGCTGCATTGGACCAAAAATATTTTTTCTTAGCAGAGCTCAAGCAAGAGGGTATAACTACTGCTCCTTCTTTAACAAAAACTGATTTCGGATTATATCGGACTGCACCTAAAATCTTTCACATTGACAAACTGCTAAAACACATTTCTTTCATCTAAAGTTTTTGTAACCATGTGGTTAATAATACATTGCTATGCTGATCTAAATTAGGCTCCTCTCCTATGGAACCAACTACCAGTTTTATTCTGTGAGGCAGACACCCTGTCTACTTTTAAGGCTAGGCTTAAAACTTTCCTTTTTGATAAAGCTTCTAGTTAGAGTGGCTCAGGTTATCCTGAGCTATCTCTATAGTTATGCTGCTATAGGCTTAGACTGCTGGAGGACATAGGGACCCCTTTTTCATCATTCTGCTTCATTCTATCTCTATTCTCCCACTCTGCAGAATCTATTAGTTCAATCTCTAACGTTCTGCTCTCTCTGCTTTTTCTCATAGTAGCTTCATCTGGTCTGTTTCTGTTTTGCTGTGACTCCATCCTGGAGAGAAATATCAGCTGTGCTGCTGCCATCAACACCTTAGATTATAGATGTTGGAGCTTGGCCTGTTTTTCAGTGTAGTCCTGTTTCTCTGACTGTGACTAACTGGATGTGCTCTCTTCACCCTCAGACATGGGAGCTGGCTCTGAGCTCATCTGCCTGGCTGTGTGTTTCCTGGACGGGGCCGCCTGTGGAGCTGGTTGACAGTTGCCTTTTGTATCTATGCTTCTTTTTATATGTCTACTTCTCTCAGAGTTTTTCCTCTCCACTGTCACTACCAGCATGCTTAGTGTGAGGGATTGCGGAAGAGTCGATGAGTCGATGCAATCAGCTGGTTTACCTTAGATAGAAAACTTTGAACCAATCTGAATGGATGATCTGGTTAAATTTTCTCTGTAAAGTAACCTGAGATGACAGGAGTTGTGAATTTGCACTATAGAAATAAACTGAACCTTTAGGCCAACACTATTTCGGGGAGTGTTGGCCTGCTGGTTAGATCAATGAAGGTTGCAAGTACCCGGTCCGATCCCTACAGCAGGCACTCTGGGTCCCTGAGCAAGACCCTTAACCCCACACTGCTCCCCAGGCGCTGCACAATGGAAGCCCACTGCTCCCCAAGGGGAGGGGTTAAATGCAGAGGGTGAATTTTCTCCAATGTGAGATGAATGAAGTTCAATTTATTTTCTTCTTTCTGAATTGAACTGAATTCTCATAGCTATTATTGTTGATTAATGTTCTTAGGTTGGGAAATATCACAAACCTTTTCTAACATCCCACACTACAAAGTAAGTATTTAAAGTATATATGATTAGTGCTAAAATCATATCAGGCATCAAGTCCAGTATCGGCCAGTTCTCTAAGGTGCCATATCAGTATCCTACCAGAAAAAAGCAGTAGCTGCTTCTGTGGATCTTATTGCTGTATCTGAAGCACTACTAGTAAGAAAATAGCTTTTATTGTTTGCTTCCCATTTTAATTTGGAAATGCTCTCATCTCACAGCTTGTGTCTGTAAAGCAGCTTTATTTTTATTTATTAAATGGCATAAAGCCAAGCAGCAGAACCAGCACACTCTTCACACAGATACCGCAGTGTATGAATAACTCTTCCAGGTTTGACCCTTTTCAAGAGGCTTCCACTTCATTAGATACCCTCCTCTAGCTGTGGTTTTGTCCTTTCTCTGTCTGCGATGACATTTTGAACTTGTAGTACATTTACATCGATGTGTCATGGCTGTGGTATCCACATGGGATCACGATGCTGAAGGTTGCTTCAGGGGTACACCAGAGCGGAGCGGTGAAGGATCCAACTATCCAAAGACAGTGTGTGTAAATTATTGTATGCGTGTGTGTTTGGATGTGATGCTTGACTGAGCTTATGGACCGAGAGCAACACCATCCAGCCAGAAAGCTGCTTTTATCAATTATTGAAGCAGGTCAGTAAGCAGGAGGAGAGCAGCAGCTGAATATGTGGAAGTGAACGTCTCTCTGTGCTTATATCACTGAACTGGCTGATTCACAGCCTAAATGTTCTGCTTTTAGCAAAGTTTAATGTTTCATTTTAGACTTCTCCACTTTAGAGAAGGCAAAATGCTCTAAACACACAAGCTTTTTGGCAAAAAGAAGATTAGAAGGGTTAAATATCTTCTATGTATGTTAAAGGTGCTATAATAACTCATTTAGTCCAGTTCAATTATGCAAGAGCGGATAATTGGTTTTAATTGAGAGTTAGATTTTCCCAGAATTCCCACCTGCATGGCAGCAGTCATCATGGTGTAGGAAGCATGCCCTGCATGCAGAGAGCTGCTGGCCTGAAATCCGTACAGCAAAGTGTTACCCTGAAATCCCACATCCTTTGCAAGCGGAGCAGAGCGGAGTGTAGGCCTTAGTTTTTGGGAATATATAAAATTATGCTCTAATC